TTCATGTCTGTGAAGCGGAATTAGGTGACCTTAAATATACACAGGGGTGGGATTCTACCGGAATAATTTTAAGCGGACTAATTATCAAAGAACAACTGCTCTCATCTCACAAACACCAGAATTACTTTGATAAGATTCTGCATTGAGATACGATTGAGAGTGTGTTGGGCGGAACACCTGAGAAAGCGTATTTCTAGACAGACAGTGAGTATATTCCTCAAACAACAATGCATTTCACTGGATATCAGAAGTTTATTGGAAATTCATTCTACATAGAAATCATTCAGATATCAAACAAAATTAGTTGAATTACAATCTTCAGTAGAATTCCGCAAATTGTTCACTTTAAAATGGACAGAAACCAGGACCGAGAACAGGATGAGCTGGTATGCCGTTCCTGAAATCAAATGATAAAGAAATAAAGAAAAGTCTGCTGTCAGCTACATATATGAAGTTATTCTTGACTGTGCTGTTTCACACGTTGAATAACAGAAATTAGGAAAGCGATGGAGTCAGTAATGACGCGTCATTTGTATATTCTCCTTCAACATTTGCAAAAGGACTATTTCTTGCTGGACTGAAACGATTGTTAGTCAATGAACTGCACAATTTCGCTGACCACTTTAGACGTATCACTGCTGTACTTTACTTAGAATTCCGTGTTAAATGCACTGTTCTGTAGCACTTCTAAAGTGAATAACCAACCCCATGATGTTTAGTAAATCGCAGGCACCAGGATCTTTTCCTGTATACGCCATTGTTGTGTGCAGAATAAGTTTATCAATAAAAAATATACCTTTGTTTGAATCAGAAGTGGGGATAGTTGGACTACTAAAGTTTCCCTGTTTGTACTGATACTATTTGAATTAAATCAAATCAGTCAAATCAGTTTCTGTGCTAGAAACATTTAAAAGTAACTTCCTGTACACTGTGGCGATTAGGACCAGGTGACGATTAACATAATTGTTCAGCAACAACGTAATTGAACATTATGTGATGACTTTCTCTACTGTTCTGTGCACAGAAAACAGGGTATTATTAAAAGATTCAGAGATCGTGGCAGGTGAGAGTATCCACACACTACACATTCATTCACAATATTTCATTTCAACACTCCAAATGTAAAGTATTTATGTCGAGTGTTCAGAGTTCTTAGTGTCCTCTCTTAACCACGACATGCCTACCATCTCTGATAACATTCATGTTTAGGAGTTTTAGATATGATCAGTTATCAATTTGTCAAGTAGAATGTTACCGAATAATTCGCTAGCACCTTACTTGATGACGCCGAATCTCAACGAAAGGAGATTACTGACATAACTATATGACGGTATCCCATTTATAGTTGCATCAAATGGCTACAGAACCACAATATTTAACCAGAATATGCATGACTATAAGTAGAGGGAAACTCACTGGCGCATTCTGCATCGAAGCTCGTCCAATCTCTTTCCAAATTCGTCTATACAGTCAGGGCGTTTCGTCCAAAGTCGTTCAGCTGTAGCAGCACCTCTAGGCCTACATATATATCACAATGATGAGAAGAAACACACAGAACTGTGGTCAGCAAGGTGGATTTAAACCCATCACAATAGCGTTTTGTCTTAACTCATTCAATGTAGCTCGGTAGTGCATTGAATGCAATTTTACCAAATTAATTGGCCAAAAAATTCTCATATGTGAATCATATGTCCTGACGTTTCATGGAATGAACAGACGTGTCACTCAATTTCCTGCCAACTGTGTCTTTCATAGATAGTGAAATGCAACTTTAACGGGAACAAAATCCCACAGTCTAGAAATTTAGTCATTATGATTCCATATGGCAATTCGAAGAAAGCGAAGTCAAGTCAAAGTTGAACTTCATTTTCAACGGTTCACATGTAGGTATATTGTCTGTTGATACTGGGTGTATAGTTAAAGGAGCACAACGAATCACTACCACTCACACTTATGATATTCTTTTGATGTTGACCAACAGTGAGCTTTAGATGAAGTCATCATCCTATTTCCAACATGTCGACATCTGAACTCACAGTTGTGTTAATGGGTTTCGATTTTGACTGAAAATTATCACCGAAACATTTTGAAATTTCCTGTCCTAAACAACGTTTCGATTCACAATTGAGATACCTACCAAACAATGATTTTGGTGAGAATAGTGGGAAGACTAAGTGAAGAGTACTCACCACGCTAGTGACATTATATTTGTCGCATCCACACGTGTACTCCACAGTGTAGCTTCACCCCCAATGACTGATTGTGTTTGCGTAAGTGAGCCTGTAAACAAAATGAAAAGTGTTATTTGCTCGGGGAATCGATGAACTCAGTGAGAAAAATCTGCTGGATTTCAGAAAGTCAAGTCCGCACATTTTACTGAAGAACGCGACTGATAGATTTGTAGGTCAACGGCCTTGACTAATTGAAAATTTCTGTTAACTACTGTTCAACACTCAAAATATAACGCAGATATCCTGCGGCTTAACCAGGGCTTCTTTCCAAACTAAAGAGCTACTCACATAGCGGGTCAAGGATAAATTGCTAACGATGGCCTCAATAATGTGCGTCTGCAAATTAAAAGTTGGAATGTTCACTACTGCATAGGGCATACTCAGTGATCTTCATCCAGGTGAGCACAAAAGTGTAATTCTACCTTTGCATAATGGGGCTAAATATGTTTGAATATTGTAATCTTAGCAACCTGTCCGGAGAAGGCATTCTCGATGATCTACGATGTCCTTGGAGACGTATGTAATAGAGTCCAACTGGGTTTTCTGTCAGTCAATACAAGATGACCCAGTTTCCATATCTGGATGAGATGTGCGCAGCCTCTTTATTCACCTCAACCTCCTCCATTTATGTTGAAAATTAACACTTGAAATCCCAATTCCACATTCTCAAATTCCAAACCAGAAGGTCCAGGGTTCGAACCCCGGTGGGTGCGTACTGGTGAAGAGTCCCAAACTAGGACGAAACAGCTGTCCAGTACTCCCAGGTTTTCCAATGGTTCTCTAACTGATGTCAGCTCATGATGAAATCCTGTAACCAATCAAATCCCTACAAACCAACACTTGAAAATCCATTTTTTCTGTTCTCCGTTTCATTACACTGTGCAGGTTTTTTGATCTTTTGTATTATGTCAATTGACCAAAATTCACGTTATGTTCTTCAGATTCGTTGTTTTATTTACACGACGCGTTTCATTCCACTTTATTAAATTCTTCATTAATCGATAACGGTCCATAAATAGCACATTTGTATTCCCACCACACCAGTGATATGACTTTTTACTTATCATTCTTATCTGTCACCTTTGAACTTAAGTATAGCGTATTTGTATCTGCGTGTTTATTCCCCAGTGGTACTCACTTTGTATGTCACACTCCCGACTAAACACATCCTTTGAAACAGATACTGTTTTCTTGATTACATATACACAAAGATAACACTAAGCAAATCAGTTTCATGTTGTTTCATGTCCCTATTGATCATACACATGTCAAATGATAACCAAAACGCAATGACTATTATATCACCTCGTACTTCTGTCATGATACACTTTCTGATATAATTCTCAATTGCCTTCAATGAAAATTATTTACCAACAGGAATGGATTTGTAACCAAAGAGGCTGAGACACCTACTGAAACTGAAATTGTCCACTTCTATTATTCTTGTTTTAAATGTATTCTGAGGATGCCCAAATTATTAGGATGCCCTGTTGTCCAACGATTTTGAAGAAGCAGGACCATCGATAGATTTAATTATTCAGTTCCCTTAGAATGAACTGGTGTGTGTTCACTGTAGTCTATAAATATATACACTAATTAGTCAGTCATATAATAATCAGCCCCACCGAAACAACTCAGCTCGTATTTTCACACGTCACTGGTGATGTCCATCAGCGCACTACGATAGCATTAGTTTTATCGAGTAACAGAAAAATTCTTTCGCCACATCAGAGTATCGCATGGAATAATTTAATCACATCGTGGAACAGTATGTCTTTAGATATGCTACTCAGTAGAATGTCATCTTATGCACAACATTTCACACATAATGTCTGTCATCAAACTTTTACCAGTCTAAATAGAATTTAGAATATGTTTGCGATGTAAGGAAAAATGAATTCGCTTACTAATTTCTTAGTTAATGCTGTCCGAGGAAGAAACTATTCTAACTCTGTAAACAAGGTACCATCGAATTCCTTCCAAACTACAGAAAAGATCTAAGCAGGATATGTATTGTCGTAAGGATGAAATGAGTTGCATATCTGAATAGGAGTAACAAAAATTGCATCAAAATGTTCCACAAAAATTACATTCATAAAAGCAGGATAAACACAAGCTGGAAAGTGAATAGCGAGTCAGATCATCAGTGGCATTGATGTTGGTTCACTTCTGGGTGAAATGACGCAACACTGTAAAATTTACAACATTTTCCTTTCCATGCACAACATTGTCACGTGTGTTTTGCCTAATGTAGATGTTTAGTGACTGAAACAGACATTAGTGTTTATCGTTACAACCAATCCGATGTCGAGACTCAAATCTACTTCATTAAGTCAAGATTCATCAGTGAATGTTTGCTTTGGGAGATGCGCTTGTTCAGTATTTATGGATTCGCAGTGAAACCATTCATCTCAGAAAATAAAAAAACAAAGAAAACAAAATCCTCAACTAGATCTACAAATCCCGATTAATACACTATTCCTTAATGACTGACTCCTGAGTTCAATGTTAATGTCCCATTGTCTTCCGTTATATATGTATACATATATTTTGCTGTTAATATGCCAACATACTGTACAAAGTCAAACGACTCACACTTGTGACGCAAAAAAAAGCATCGCACTCGCTGCAATCATTGTGAATCCGTGTTCATTTCAGAACTGTTGCATAACACAGGCAAAGCGAAACTTGCAACACACCCAGATAAATGTCGTCAACACATAAATTCAGTTCAAAACAGTATCTGTTTCAGACTACGCGAGAATTAACTCACCTCCAAAATCTCTGATATTCTGTTCATAATATCTCATCCAATCAAGATCATTTTGTATGTCATTGAGATTCCAAGTGCCAGAAACTATAACATTATATCCATCTAGAATGGCAGTGTGGACGTGTTTTTGCCAATCTACAGTTTTCCAGACATGAATGATTGTTTTACGGTCAATCTGTTAAACCGAATGAAACATTTGTAAAGTTAGTGTTATAATCATCAAATTGATGTAACTATGCAGTTTAATTTGAAAGGAATTATCGGTTGATTGTTATTCTGGAAACAAGAGATGACACATTATCGAACAGATGAAACATTTCGTTTACAGCTTGACTGTATGAAGTTATTTAACCTGAGATCTCAAATTTTCTGATGCATCTTTTCAGGGGTTCGCCAGACATTTGACATGGACAAAATATGCAACACATTAGATTTATTCAACCGAAGAATGAAACTAAATCATCTCTGTTCTTTAATTATCTAGTAAGCATTTAAGATGCGTAGCGATCATAACTTGAATTAAATAAATATTGGTTTGATCCTGTTCATGTTTCTTAACATTGAAAATGTAGATACAAGTTTCTCTCTGTTTAAGAATCATCAACTGGTTGTATGATCACTCCACTGAACGACAGGTTTACCACTGGAACTGGGAACAAAGACACAAGCCAGGGTGTCTGTTCTGGAATCCCACGTGCCAACAGACACTCACCACAGAGATATAGAGAATACAAATTTCCATTTATGAAGTAAAATCCTGTGTCCTGTCCAAATTGAATAACCACATGAAATAGCTCAATTGATCAAATACAACCAGATGAATTCACAAACAAGCACAGGGATTATTCTGTTGTATTTAGGTCGACTGGGTTGTGAGAGTGAGAGAGCTTAGCCACACTCAGCATGACTACACTGGACAAGTAATAAGAGAAAATATTCTCCTATCACCATACATGAAGTAACACCCTAACGCAGCATTAGGCGACCCTGATCTGTTTCCCGATGGTGACGATATAAATGGATTATTTCATCTCTAGACACCAAATCAACCATCATGGAACAAATGTTTTAGACGTGAACTAAAATAACTTGAAAATAAATGCTTGCAATAATCTGTCATTGAAGTATTCGTCAAAATATATGACTGAATCACAACATTACTCCTTATCGTCAAGTAAAAAGGACTGATAATGTTGTGTCAGTGGGACACAGATAATCATCACTGAATATCGAGTGTAGTCATCTAATTACAAACATATTTTCCAAAACTTACTTCACATTCATCACGGTAACTCTCCTGGTACAAAATAGGAGTGATCGGTAATTTAGGGTCTTTCGTCATGTTCTTAACAATCTCAATAAGTTTCACAAAGTGATATCTAAGTAATTGGTAATAATCTTCACCGAATTTCATGTCTTTCATAAAGCTGGTTATTTCTGGATTCGACTGCCTGAAATGAACAGGAAGACAATAAATAAATTTGTTCCATGTTCCTGTTGATGATTCAATTTAAAGTGCGAACAAATATGGAGCAGCAATATGAAGTCTCCCGTTAATCTACATGAAATAATTGTTAAAATACAACTTGATCAGAGATTGTTGATGAGGATTTTCTATTCCACTCAATGGAATGAAGAGAATGAGATAGATAGATGCTGTAATATTCAGTGTCCTACTGAAGAAATATTCGTGTCTTATGGACAGTTGCCTTCATTCCTTTATGTTAACCATTCAGAAGAGGAATAATGTGGGATTAAATTTCACAGGCAATTTGTCGCTTCCATGTTTGATTGCAGTAAATGTTTTGCAATCCACTGGTAATATCAGATAAATGGACACTTTAATACAAAATTATATTTTGCTAAATCAGTTAGTCAGGTTTAGAAACCGTCGAATGTTGCTATACACTGTTTCATGTACACACAGTTTTCGACTCAATTTATCAGACATCTTCAGCACAAACTCCAAAATGACGTCACGACACCACTCTAAGTGGTGTTTGTTTTATTATTACTAGTCAATCTACAAATTGGAAACTCAAATGCGGTGAAGTCTTATTGAAAATACCATCCATGTCGCTTCCTAGTGCTTAAATCGAGAGTTGTTCTTCCTGTTGCTTCCAAGGAATAATTATTGAAATGCAAATGAATCGATGAGAAAATTGTTTAAATGAGACTAGTTCAGGGCCTGTTATGAAAATATGGTTATGCCGTAATATTGATTCTATATTTACTCTTATGTAAAATCAACAGAACTCACCAGCACTCATAGTCAACCTCATTGCCGCCAAGGTGAATGTAATTGTCATGAAATGTTCCAACGATTTCTTTAAAGAATTCCCCTAAAAACTCATACAATGATGAATTGGCTGGATTCATTGGACCCAACTTTCCATTTGGTTCATCGCCGTCGTAACATTTGGTTAGTAAGTCTGGATATCCTTTCCCCCATGACAATGTATGCGCTACAAAAGATAATTGTGACACTCAATGGAAATCAGCCTTACAATATTTCGACAAATAATGTCGCTGAGATACAAAATACGATGATTAATGCATTCACCATCTGAGATTGATTCGAATCCTGCTGTCTGAAATTTTACACTGTTCAACTCGTATAACACATGTATTTCGCACTAACTACGTTGGTCCATTCAAGGATCAACTGCAAGACTTTGAATGCGAACATTGGACCAATGATATTAACGTAGTTCACTGGTCGGATAATTCCACATATTGTCTAGATAATAGTTGGCGACTGAACAGAATCACAAACTGTGAATTTTTCACAACCACCTTGGGTTTATTATTTCCAGCAAAATCAAACCTCCTAAGTAACTCAGCAAAGGTAAACGCCTCTCATCATCTCCTTGTTTCAACATACCTTCAAACACGAAATCATGCATAAACTGAACAATATTTATGATGACTATCTTGATTTGTTTGATAAACAGTTTACGTTCAGCATTATTCCAAGAGCATGTTCATACTCATTCAAATCTTTGCATGGCATTATTCCATTTGACCTCACATGATGGACAATTACATCATATTAAAAATATATTTAAAATTACCTACCTGGAGTATCAAACTCTGGAATCACACGAATTCCACGTTGACGGGCGTAGTTCAACAGTTCTTCCACATCTTCTTTACTATATGTGCACCTCAGAGGATGATATGCGCCCTGTTGTAGTTAAAACAAACATTTCGATCAATATATGACCTGATTTTCTTTCACCTCACTCACCTGCTCTGACAGTTTGGAACACGTAGTCGATATAAAGGGAAATGATTGATCATCCGTAATATGCCAATGAAACACATTCATCTTAACCATGGCCATGCTTTCCTGGTAAGAAAAAGCATCATACTGACTATTGCACTTCTTACCATTAATTTCTTCAGGATATCAAGTGGTAAGAAGTATCTCGCAGTATCTACCAGCATTCCACGGTGTACGAATTGTGGTTCGTCCATCAAAGATCCTTTAAATATAACATTCTGTATGATGAAATGAATCAATGAAATCAAGCCAAAGGTAAAAGCGAAACTCACCGCTCCATCTTCATCTCGATACACCAATTGAAGTATGGTCTCGAGGGCGTGTAAAGTACCCCAAATCTCACTGGAGTCTATGGTAATTTGGGAGTCTTCTATCTCCACATTATCTGCAAAATGGTCATTGAATTAGTCGTTATGGTACAACTCACATGATTCATCAGTTGATGCAGTTAATGATGGCCATAGCGGATCATCGCTTTCGTCACATCCCAATTTGATTTTGATATTCAGAGTGTTAATGTTGCATGTGGCTTCAACTTTTTCAGAAATTGGTGGATGTTTCAATTCCAGACGATTTTGAAATCTCTTCACAGCATCTGACAATATATTGCATTTAGAATAGCTGTGTTGAATGTCAAGTGAACGTGATAAATGGCAAACTGTCGAAGATTTGTCGTAACTTGATGGCTTCGGGACTATCGCTATTGTATAAAGTGAGTTATTCAGCAGCAGTGCAATCAAGAACAACACAGAATTAAAAATCATGATTCCTCTCTTCTTGTCAATATCTTTGTTACCTCAATCTCAGTAGATTTTATGTTAACACTGAAATGAACTTTGATCTCATCTGATATTTAATGACAGAATCACCACACAATCACATGAGTATTTCATCTAAGTACTTGTATTTTTCGATTGAATATGGTTACCATGTTCTAACAAACTGTACTGGTTGATGTCAGTGGTGTACAACTACTTGTACCAACCAATCAGTATTACGTAGGTTTCGTATGGAGTGAATACAACTCCCAACAGTTGACACGCACACACACTCATGGAAGCGTCAACGTGTGGAGCTTACCAATAATTGTTAGCTATCGTGATACGTATACTCACTGAGAAATTGGGACCAGTATTGTTTGAAACAACATAGATGTCGAAAAAAATATGAATAACATGAGAGACGTCTTGATGAAACTTACCTACAGTCAAATAGGTTCCGACAGAATGGGCTACATCACATACTGAATCGGTATTTCGCCTAAAGCTTGTACATTTCACTTGCTAGTTTCAACTGTTTGACTTATTAGGACATAAATGGTGGTCTGAAATGATTAGTGCTAAAATAAAACACAAAGGCTTCAAATCTAACAAGCATTATTGGTTCTTGTGGTGTTAAGCACACGTCATAGACTGTATTCTTGAATGTGACTTTTGAAAATTCTGATTATTTCACAGTCACTAAGATGTTGGCAGTTACATGACCAGAGATTTGAATTGATTAACCGATTTCTTGATGAAGGTCGTTCCCAATCCTATTCCATTCAGATGTGCCAACCATGTTTTAAATATTTCCGAATTGAATTTGACTGGTTTCAGTCCTGCATTCGAATATCAATGATCTAAAGGATGGCGAAACTGTCTCAGTGGAGTGATCCAGCGCAGTACCCGTGGAGAGAGAAGAAGGTAGAGGAAAACTGCATCAGAAGTGAAAAGTAGCTAGCAGGTGTCAGTAATTGAGTAGTGATTTGCCAGTAATAATTATTATTGTAACAACGAATAAGGCGGCGATAATCTGCAATAATCATATAACCATTATATCTCGTTTCTTGCTTCGCGAGTGGAATACAGCAGTATGTTTTCGTTGCACTTGCTTTTCTGCTATCATTT